AACACTGATGTCTTATGTACTTGCTCAATAAGTAATTTTGTTAATTAAAAAAATACTGCAGCTTTAAAGAATGATACACTAATCATTTGTGTTTCAAGTATATATCTCATAATTCTGACTTTTTTTTTCTCAGAACTATGAGTTTATATTGTGTAATTGTGGGTTTACATCTCACAATTCTGTATTGTCAAAAAAAAAAAGTCAGAATTCTGAGACAAAAAGTCGCAATTACCTTTTAATTTTTTTTTATTCCATAGCAGAAATGGGCTGCCTTCCGTACATCTGAACGTGTGCAGGAAATTTAGCTATTGAAAATAAATGGACAGAAAAATATCTCTGATATTCCCATAACAAATGTGTGTGTGCATATATAAAACGCAAGTAAATACAACTGGAAATAACAAACAGTTTGTTTATATTTCTCTCTCCCAACATGTAAAGACGTGGATGTAAAACTGTGCAGACAAAATATATGAAAAGAAGAATTAGGCAGATAGTGATGCAGAGAGGGAGAGCAGTAAGATGGAGAGAAACGCACATAATAAGATGAATACATGGGTCTTCCCTCCTCAGTGGCTGTGGATTTATGTGTTGAGCGGAGCCAGGAGGCCCTCAGTGAGACGGGCTTAGGGCAGCTGTGTTGTTTCAGGACCTGTATTTTACTGTTGGCCAGCAGTTGGCTCTTTAACCATTTGGAATGGTCCACATTCCTCAGGGTTAATAATACTCAGAAGGGGCCGTAGAGAGAGAGAGAGAGGGTGGGGGGGAGCTTGATGGGGGAAGGGCTTCAATGTAGAATAATTTTTTCAGTGTACATAAATCTTTCATATTAATCCTACATTAAAGTCAGCATGAAATCAAAATTGACTTTATTTACTTTACAAGACACATTGCTAGTCTTGATGTGAACAATTAATCCGTGCAATTTAATCTGCTTAAAAAAATTGTTTGTCTTCGTAATCTTTAATCAAAATCTGAACATTTACTTCCGCTCTGGAATGGCATTCCTTTTCTGATGACGTCAGTTTGACGGCTTGGGCAGAATATCCTTAAACACACCCCTCTAACCGTTAGATTGCTATGAGTGAGAGACAGAGAGGAGGAGCGCAAAAATAAAACCATGCCCTCTATTCAATATTCCGTTTCAGCTGGAAATACGTCACTACACTGAAATAAAGTCGGCAGCAACTTCCGGTTCACGCGGACTTTAAACACCGTGGCCTTGCTCCTCTTCAATTACTGTTTACCCTGATGAAGCATTAGCCTCTGAACTTTGGGTTTCCTGAGTCCCTTTGTCTGTCACTCTCTCTGAAACACTCTTTTGTTTTCTTCAAAATCTGCAGATACGCACTACTACGTGGTTTCATAGTTTTACATTTCAAGATGAGTTTGAACTCGCCCTTTGATGAGTAGATGAATGTTTGCTTTTTTGAGTGTGTGCTCAGTGGGTAAATGTACATAAGCATGCGTGTTTGTGTGCGTTTGTCCACTGTTATCACAGATTCCCGTCTCTCTCTCGCTCGCTGGTGTTGTCAGGGTGTTTGATGTTTGTCTCAGATAGCTGATGAGTATCAGTGCTCGTTAAGAAGATTAGAGAACGGGCTCATTTGCATGTGTTCATTATCTCATTAGATTTATATCGGGGAGAAAAAGGGCATGACCACAGTGCCTTCACACTCTGCTCTTGCTTCAGGCAAACCTCTGCACTGTAAAGTATTACTCACAATCAGCTCTGTTCTGGGCCTCAACGGAGCTGAACACATAATTAGCAAGTTTTTCGCGTGCTCCTTTGCTTAAGAGGGTCAACATTTTAACCTTAATCTGCCCTACATGAATCTGCAGGAAGTTTCAAAGGGGGGTTGGTTGTTTCTTAATGAGAAAATGTGTCTTAAAGCAAATTTTTACAGTTAAATGTTTATATTTTGTGTTGGCTCACATTCTGCATATATTCATTCTGTTCGCAAGAATCACAGCACAGGTCTTGTACCACGTAGACTAGCTCATTAGCTCAAAGCTCATTAGCAACACTGAAAGCAAGTAGCAAGGCCAATCTCTTACTCTAAAAATGGCTCAAAGGGTTTTGCCTGTTTTGCCCATAAGATAATTTCAGCAAACTTAAACATCAGCTCAAAGAAATGGAAACATGAATGTTTGTCATAAAGGGAGTGTACTCGTAATGTCAGTTTTTTTTTTAATGGAACTGAGCTCTGCACTGCCTGCACTGAGATTGTGTTTTGATAGATTTGACAACAATATTCTGGCATAATGAGAAATATGCTGTGATACTAAATGATTTGGCAAAAAATATATTTTACCTTATTCATCTGACACTTGAGAAGTTAGAGTTTGACTTTCACTTTGCTCTAGTGGTCTATAAGTTAAACTTTTCATCTGTAGCTTTGCTCAAATCACTGTAGATATACATGTATAGTGCTGGAACAAAATTTGAAGTATTGTTAGGACTAGTAGTGGAATTGTTGCAGCATTCTGTTTTTGATTTTACCTAAGCACATATGCAGATGATACCAAAGGTTTACCTAGCCTTATGGCAAATGACTACAGCCCCACTGACTCTCTATGCCAATGCATTGGTGAAATTAATAGTTGGATGTGCCACAACAAAGAGAAATCTGAAGTCATTGCATTTGGAAACAAAGATGAAGTACATACACATGAAGTGAATGCATACCTTGACTCTAGGGGTCAAATAACAAAAAATCAAGTCAAGAATCTTGGTGTGATTCCGAAGTCAGACCTTAGTTTCAGTAGTCATGTCAAAGCAATAACTGAATCAGCATACTATCATCTTAAAAACAATGCCTGTTTTGCCCATAAGATAATTTCAGCAAACTTAAACATCAGCTCAAAGAAAGGGAAACATGAATGTTTGTCATAAAGGGAGTGTACTCGTAATGTCAGTTTTTTTTTAATGGAACTGAGCTCTGCACTGCCTGCACTGAGATTGTGTTTTGATAGATTTGACAACAATATTCTGGCATAATGAGAAATATGCTGTGATACTAAATGATTTGGCAAAAAATATATTTTATCTTGTTCATCTGACACTTGAGAAGTTAGAGTTTGACTTTCACTTTGCTCTAGTGGTCTATAAGTTAAACTTTTCATCTGTAGCTTTGCTCAAATCACTGTAGATATACATGTATAGTGCTGGAACAAAATTTGAAGTATTGTTAGGACTAGTAGTGGAATTGTTGCAGCATTCTGTTTTTGATTTTACCTAAGCACATATGCAGATGATACCAAAGGTTTACCTAGCCTTATGGCAAATGACTACAGCCCCACTGACTCTCTATGCCAATGCATTGGTGAAATTAATAGTTGGATGTGCCACAACAAAGAGAAATCTGAAGTCATTGCATTTGGAAACAAAGATGAAGTACATACACATGAAGTGAATGCATACCTTGACTCTAGGGGTCAAATAACAAAAAATCAAGTCAAGAATCTTGGTGTGATTCCGAAGTCAGACCTTAGTTTCAGTAGTCATGTCAAAGCAATAACTGAATCAGCATACTATCATCTTAAAAACATTGCAAGAATTAGATGTTTTGTTTTCAGTCAAGACATGGAGAAACTTGTTCATGCCATACCAGTAGGGTTAACTATTGTAATGGACTCATCACCGGCTTTCCCAAAAAGACCAGACAGCTGCAGCTCATACAGAATGCTGCTACCAGAATTCTGACTAGAACCAGAAAATCTGAGCATATCACGCAGTCCTCAGATCATTACACTGGCTTCCAGTTACATTTAGGATTGATTTTAAAGCCTAGGACCTCAATACATTGCAGATATGCTCACTGAATATAAGCCTAACTGACCACTCAGATCATTAGGATCAAGTCAGTTAGAAATACCAAGGGTTCATTCACTGCTATTTAGCTATTATGCTACCTGCAGTTGGAACCAGCTTCCAGAAGAAATCAGATGTGCTAAATCAGTAGCCATATTTAAATCCAGACTCAAAACACATCTGTTTAGCTCTGCATTTTTAACTTGCCTTGCCTAATCTTTAAATTTCACCATAATTATGAGCAAACTAATGTACACTTGTTATTTATTTGCAAGTTAATGATAAAATGTATATATAGGCTAGATGCCCAGTGAGCTCTTGTGCATGGGATGGAATCTAAAAGCCCAAAGCTATCAATACAGGCTAACACAAGACATGCTGAAGGAAATATGGTTAGATCATTTGAGCTAATTTGAGTAAAGCATTTGAGTATTTTTTTCTTTTATTGTTTGGTTGCTTAGGTATATTGTATCAGATATAACATATTGGCAGCGAATGAACATAAAGAGGAAGAGTTTAATATCTGTCATACAACTCTTATTTAACTGAAGGTCAGAGGATTCCTCAGAGGACATGTTCAGCAGCTCTGTCTGCCATCTGAGTTTGATCAACATGTTTATGAAATAGCAGCCATAGCAGCCACACTGTAAAAAGTAATGAGTTGAACTTACTTGGAAAACCTGTGGAAACTGATTGCCTCAAATTTCTCAAGCAAATTAGTTTATCAGTTTTGAGTTAATAAAACTTACTGTAACTTTGTATAGGTAACTTGTGTATATGTATAGGTTACCAGAAAACTTGAGTGTTGCAAACTCAATTTGACAAGTTCAGCCAACTTAGAGATTTAAGTTAAGCTTAGTGCACAGAACTCAAACAAAACAGTTCTCTTAACAAGTCTGCTTTGTTCACATTACTAGACAAATGTGTGGAAACTGATTGCCTTAAATTTCTCAAGTAAGCTGTACTCAAAACTTAAAGTTGTTAATACAAAGACAGAAAACAGATTGTTAGCACAACAATAGGGCATTTATTTGTTTAAAACAATGTTACTTCAAGTCATTATTTTTTAGGCATGCTATCAAATCAACAATTTAACATTGTAAGAAAAATTGCACATACTGCACTCAGGAAATAAATAGAAAAAAAAAAACATCAACATCCCTTTTATGACACCTTGTAAATCTAGATTTACCATTTTCTAAATCAATAATGATCAATCATGAACAATTACACTGAAAAATGCTCCATCACGCCACAATGACATCTTTCTACATCAGAAGATTTTTCAGAGATTGCATTCTAGGTTCAGCCATTGAATGAAATCAAAGGTGTCCTTCAGTACTGGAGGATACTATAATTTCATAGCATAAATGAGTCCAAAGAGCAGGCATATGTCTTGGAGAGGATTTTCCAGATCATCCAATACAATTGTACCTTCCAAAATGATTGCAGTAGATGTGGCATTAAATGCAGTGAGTTAGGTATGGCTCTAGAGTCCTCAGCTCAGGGATCACGGTCAATAGGCCGACTGACATCTCTTCTTCATCATAGTCCTAGAAACAAGAATACAATATGACAAAAATAAGTAATTACATTTTAAGAGTACATATTCAGGTTAAACATTTGCAAACAAATTAATATCTGTGTATTATGTTTAGATATAAAGGCCTTTTCAAACTGAGCACAGCAGTGGATCCCAGATAAAAATAAAAAAAAAGACATTCAATCTGTTGTACAAAAAGACAAGACAAACTGAACAGTATGCCAGCTATACAATAATCTATTCTGAAACTGCTGCTTTGACATTTGAAAAGTGTAAAAAAAAACAACAACAGCATTTTGGTTAAATACTGACATATATATTCCCTTTTGTGTGATTTCTAAAGACTGACCAGAAAACCATGATCAAGAGAGCACCCTCATAGGCCATGTCTTAAACGAGTGGTTTTCACGTCTCTATCACTCATATATTAGACTCTTTGTTTTTGTTCTCTTGCTTATCTGATTTCTTTATTTCTTTCAAACCTCCTTTTTGATTTTTATATTTCTTTCACTTACTTACCTTTATTCTTTTCTGTCCTTCCTTTCTGACTTCTTTCCTCTTTGTGTTGTTTCCTTTACTCTTCCTTCATCTAAATTGTCAGACTCCTTGTTACCTAATTTCTATTTTCTTTCTTCACATTATTTTTCTTACTCTTATTTAAAAAGGGTTCACCCAAAAATGAAAATTCTGTCATTAATTACTCTCTCATGTCGTTCCAAACCAGTAAGACCTTCATTCATCTTCGGAACACAAATGAAGATATTTTTGATGAAATCTGACAATGCTTGTGCATTCCTCTGCTTGTAAACAAGGCACAGTGCATGCGTGTTCTACGTCAGAACGCCGGCTCCTGCGTCAGCAGCATCACACGCATGCGTCGTGGTACTCTCGTGAACGATGTACTTACTTTCTTTCTGGGTCTTGAACGTGGTAGTTGTGTTGCTGTCTATGCAGAAAGCTCTTGGATTTCATCAGAAATATCTTAATTTGTGTTCCGAAAATGAACAAAGGTCTTATAGGTTTGGAACGACATGAGGGTGAGTAATTAATGACAGAATTTTCATTTTTGAGTGAACTAACCCTTTAAGTATTTTTTCTCTTCTTTCCAACTCTGTTCTTTTATTATACATTCCCTTTCCTTTTTTCCTTAGAAGTTTTTTTTTTTCACTTTCTTTATTCCTTTCTATCTTATATTGTTTCTGTGTCCTGATTTTTTTCTTGCCAGGTCTCAAGAATTGTCTGCATTACACTAAATAACCAGAATATAACAGACAAAATTACTTACAAAACATGTCTTGTAAAAATCAGTAAGGTCCTTTTCAAGGAAGAGTGGAAGGCCGTGGAGAACTGCTGTTCATCGCCCATTGATGTTAGATGTCTGTACAATTATTAAAAAAACTCATATTTAATATCACTCAAAGCACAAGCATTCAGCATAACATATAATGAATATCTACTTATTCTGTGCAGGGTTTCACAAAACTGCAAAGTATGATTTTTCAATACTTCATTTTATTCCTCAGAATTAAATGCAATCAAACAACCAGACTAGTAAATACGGTCTAGTGTAGTAGGATTCACATCAAAAAACGAAATGATGTAATATATGCGCTGCGCGCTCTGTGTGGGTCCTAACGCCCCACTGATGTGACGGGGACACTATACTGACAAAAAGCAACGTCTTTCGGATGAGACGTTAAACCGAGGTCCTGACTCTCTGTGGGTATATGATCAAGATAATCTCTAGTACTGTTCAGACAGATACCTGCAAGTATAGGGAGAACTAATAGTTAAAAAGTATACATTTTTTGGCTGTTTACCACAATTCTATCAAGCAAGCAATATTGTCTTATTAGAGGCTTTGTCAATTGATATGATGTTCTAAATATGGTCAACTTTTTACTAATGGTGGAATTAATGTATTGGGATTGTTAATCAAGTTATTCCTTTTCTTTCCTGGGTAACTAATTCCAATTCCTCAACTATGAAAACACAAGAATATATCTCCAGCCCTACATACATGTTGCATTGACCCTCACATGAATAAGATACGCAGCAGTAACTCTTAGCGACTTCACTACAATTTATAGCATGGCCCCTCTGTGGTCGACATGTCTTCTGTGCAACAGAATTTAAGCCTGTTCCGTTGACCTCTGCGTTGTGGTGAAGCTGACAGCGACTATAGTTTTATGCTGCTAATCAAATTCTAGCTGTGCGGCGATGTTTCCCTGAAAAGTCCTCTGCATTGCCCCCAGCTTTGAATTGAAGTGTGGAGGTTCTGCTTCGTTACAGCTCATAGGGAATTGTGCAGTCTTCTTACCTGGAGGGCAGAGGATAATGGTGATGAAAATGGAACGAGGTGCATACGCATCGAGGGGGGATGTGCATACGCACTCAGCAACGTGTTGTGATATGCACCTGACTCTCCTCTCATGTTCCATTGTGAAAATCCCACCATATCAAGGTATTAAGGCAAAGCATGAAAGTTTTTTGTGTACATGTGTGCGTGTGATCCCTTAGGTGAGCGGTTAGACTGGAGAGGGAGGAACTAGACATCTTCTTACGTCTTTATTATCTTCCTCAGGCTGATTTCTTATTTATCAGACTCCCTCTAAGTAGAGTCTTCAGGTCCCAGCGCAGCCCTTTCTGCAGGTACAGCCACTGATAAAAACACATCCTCCCCACCATCTTCCGCTTCTTCTCAATTTGGGTTCAGGCAAAACACTTCAACTCGGTGGAGTCTGCCTGCCACTCCTTCCTTGACATCTCTCGTGCGATTCGCGCTGATTGTCCGACAACTGTAAACGCTTGGAAATGCATAGCCTCTTCCTTCTCTCTCTCTCCAACCTGCATTTCTGGGTCACGGAAGACATTTAAACTCCACTTATAATTAACAGTTATTTTTAAACGGAGTGAGAGAGAGAGCGGAAATGGAGCAGTGGTGAGGTAAAAAAGCATTAAAATTGCCCCAGATTCGCTATTGAATGGGACACATCACAGCAATGATCAAAGTGAAAGGGGGAGAGTGGAGACGGGGCCGATCAGTGGGGATAAATGGATCTCTTTATAATAGCGTAAGAATAGGGCCCCTCTTTTACAGCTGAAACAATTTAATAACTGCATTCATTACAGGCCACTCGCTGTCCACTCGCTATCTCTCTCTACTTCCTCCCCCTTTTTTGCCTATATGAAAGGAAAGGCTGGTTACTGCAGCCCAAGCTGAATTAAGGCTGGTTGAGGGCCAAAATGAAGATGTGCTAGCTTCCTCTGACACTCCTAAATGAAAACCTTACACAAGAGCAAGCAGTTATCACAGAAACTCCCCAAGGACACACTACACTCCTCAGCCTGCTAATTATATCCAATGCAAATGCGCTGTCTGCATAGTTAACGCCTGTACTCGGCACATATTTATATATTTCTGTATTATTTCATTAATTCATTCAGACCTTCCTGTGTCGGGGGAATAAAAGAAGCAGCTAATAGCATGAACTGAGTGAACTGTTAGAAAGAAACCCCCTCGCTTTTGTCTGTCTCACTCGCTCATTTGCTCAATCTTTTCTCCTTCCTGATCCCTCCTTCCTCTTTCTCTCCTGTTGAATGTATGTGGCCCTCTGAGGAGAAGTCGTATAAACACCTTCCGGTGGCATTCATAAGGGTATGGTTCAAAAGGACGCCTTTATTAAAAGTGTTTTGTCTTGCAGCCCATGTGTGCATGTTTGCCATCTTATCTGTCCATTAGCCTGCAGTGACCTGCCCACTGCTCTGTTCCTCTTCCTGCTGGCTTTAATGGGTAATTTAGTGATGCAGGCTTGACATATACTCCTTGTTTGTTGCTATGGTTACAGGGTCTTATATTCTCCTTCTTTCTTACCTGTGGAGAGTTTGGTCAGTAAAAATGCATTCATTTCCCTGGAGAACTGGGGTCAGATGCTAGCGGGTTGCCAACTTGTAATTTCCTACTCTCCTTAAACAATTTTTGTCATTTTTTAATAAGTCTCCTATGAAAAGAGAGGTTGTTACTGAATTTCAGTAACAAATGATATTTTAGTCTAGAGTTTAGAGTGCACAGGCAGTATGACCAAAATCTTGTTGTTGTTGTTGTTTTGATTTTCACTGTGATTTTAATATCAAAAGTATATAGTAATGAAAAAAAAAACATAAATGTAATATTCATAAAAAATAAATAAGTCTGTCATTAGTACAAAGCACCTGCTTCAAAGTATAGAACATTTAAAGTGACAGTAAATACATTTATAATGTTACAAAAGATTTTTATTACAAATAAAGGCTTATTTAAAATTTATTTTCATCAACAAATTATCAAGGATTCCACAAAAATACAGTACAACTGTTTTTAACATTGGTAATAACAGGAAATATTTCTTGAGCACTAAATCAGCATATTAGAATGATTTCTGAAGGATCTTGTGGCACTGAAGAGTGGAGTAATGGCTACTGAAAATTCAGCTTTACTATCAAATTAATAATTTACATTTTAAAATATATTAAAATAGAAAGCAGTTATTTTAAATTGTAGTTAAATTTTACAATATTACTGTTATATGTACTGTAGTTTTGATCAAATAAATGCAACCTGGTGTCGCACATCATATACCTCACATGTTATGCCTCTGTACCAGGTGACTGTGCAATTCTGGCTATGAGTCTTTTCTTATTTCTAGCACACACTCTCACAAGGTCATCTTTCTGAACTGCTGTGAGCAGGAGAGGTATGAATTAAAAAAGCTGTTTCATCTGCTGCTCTATCTGTTTTGGTTTTGTTTTATTGTCCATGGATAGGGAAATAATAACTTGCTGTGGTCCAATGTATGGTGTTATATTTTTCACTAAGTTTTATGGCCTCCGTCTGTATGTTATGACAGAACTGAGGCTGGGTGCGGGCCTGCACGTCTGATAAATGGCTTGCTTTGTACTTCCCCCCCCAAAAAAAGAAATCATAATTCCACTTCCTCTCCAAAGCCTGTGCTGCGGCAAGCATGATGGGTGGTGCCATAGGACACAATATATATGTCTGCCTGCTGCTGGGAGATGTCATAATACAGCCGCTGTGTGTTCAGAATATTTGATAACGTGGTGCACGTAGTATTGGACCCCTTTCGTCAACGTAAGAAATACTAAACAAAGATCGACTTCATCCTCTCCATCCTGCTCCTCTGGAAAGCTTAGGATGGTTGTTGTCCCTGGTCAAGCCCCAGAAAGTGCCCCCTGCCCTTCTTGGCCCTCTTCCTCTTGGGGGTTAAAACACACCTTCCCTCTAAAGGTTGCAGAGGTCGCACATCTGCATGTGAAATGTGAACCCTTCGACATTCCACGGCTGTTCTGAACCCACCCAAGCTCTTTTTGTTAGCTTAAACACTAAGTTGTGCCTAACAAGCTCACCGCAGAACTAAACATGGTAACACAAGCTCTCTCCAGCGACCATTTAAGTGAACATAAAAAACTAATTTGTGATTAATGAGATGGTCGCACTTAAGTGCAAAGAAAGGTGGATAGAGTATCATAGCATGCAATACCACAAAAAAAAAAAAAAACTTCACAGGCTCAAGTTTGTGATGTTTTCAAATATATTACATATTTATTTGCAAAATACTATAAATATATTGGATATGTTTAATCTATATGTAATTATTATTGTTATGTAGGATCAAAATAAACTGTAGAATGCATAAAATAGCACAATGATCTCTTATTTTCTTGTATTCGTTATGTTGTCCTGTTCATGCAGTTTCCAGACACATATCAGTACTTAATATGCAGAGAAAGACTAAATAATGTTTTATGATTAATGTAATAATTTTAAACATTATATTTGGATAACATATTAAATTATTTTATATATTTTATTTTTTCTTGGGCAGTTGCCTGAAAACAAAATTTTTTGAACAGATGGGGGAATGGACAGTCCTGGGAAAGCTGTGTGAACAAGATGAGTTTACCTACGAAGAAAGTTAAAGAAAGTCAAACCTGAATGCGGCCAAATCAGCATTCAAACTTTATTCGCAACTCTCAAATCTCATCCGTGCCATTCCTTGGTCAATAATCGTAGGTAAACCCATCCCGTTCGCACAGCCTTCCCAGCACTGTCCATTTTAGCTTTCATAATATCCATAAAACGGAAGAGTGTAGCTTTACGTGAACTAATAAAATGAGAGCTTACAGCCAGTGATTGATGATCTTCATAGAGAGGTGGATCGCTCTCATCTTTCTTGAGATTTTTAGCACTGCCTTGTTTGCAGTCATGTGCAATCAGAGGATCGGGGGGAGGGGTAAACAAATGTTTGATGTATGATACTCACACTTCTTTTGTCATAGATACATCTCCTGCTTTGGATCTTTCTTTTAAACCCTGGCTCGACACATTTGATACTTTGACTGTGAATCCTGTGAACAGTCTGTTTATTTTTGTGTTTTCCCCTCTGTTATTTTTTCCCAAGTGGGAAATGTCTGAATGTCTGCACTT